CATCTGTAGTACGATGCTACATTTGAGGATTACGTATGCTCCAACAAGGTGGTATTTTCTAAAACGCGTTGTTAAGTCAGCAGGTAAAGGTTGGTCTGTGTTCTATCGGAGCTGCCTGCGACGCGCTAATGAGATCCAAAAAGATCGAAATCGCGATCCGCGTCTGGCAGTTTCGACATAATACAAACCACTTCGAATTATTTTGTTCATGTTACATAAAAATGAATATTTATATTATGAAAGGAAAAGTTAGAAGCATGGACAGAGAAGGTTATATATGAAGGAGTATCAGAAAGAACATTAGAAGATTGTAACGCTATGACTGCAACATCGTAGCCAGAAGAGCTTGCACTAGGACTCCATGGAAGTCAATAAGAAACAGAAACAACAACAGGTTGGTTGGGCACCATATCAGACATGAAGGGCTAGTTAGAGACATATTACAGGCAAAAACTGGAGTTAAGAGGAGTAGAAGTAGATCCAGATTGAGTTACTGTTCGCAAATAGTTAAGGATGGTGGATATTCCAGTTTTAGGGAAATGCGAAAATTAGATCAGGGAATTAATCAGAATTAGGAAGGAGTGAAGGTGCGTGTCCAACCACTCTTAGGACTGACGACCTTAGGATGATGATGAGACAATAAAGTATGTTGGAGCTATGGGCTTATAATTTTTTGGAATAAGAAATATGTTTATTCTGGACCTCAATAAAAATTTTCCAAAACATCCGGACCCCACCTAAAATTACTTGCCGGCCCTTAAATTTTGTGCAAAACTTACTAAAGAATTTGATATACTTAGAACTTAAACAATTAAAAGACAAGTTTTAAACTAATTGTTGTAAAGTCACAGTGAATACTAAGCAGGCGTATATGCACCACCATAGAAATCACTTTCGGCACTTTCCTTCTTTCTCTTACGACTAGCAAAAACCTATTGCATATGTATATACATTGTTTAAATGTTAATGCATAAAACGAATTAGAACAAAACTAAATTTCTGATATTTTGGAAAAAAATTCATAACGAAAAATCTAGACGTGATAAAAAAAATTGGTCATCGGGAACAGATTCATGCATCAAAATCTTTATATTTATAACAAAATTTTTTGAAGGAGGATTTTGTTGCAGACCAGTGTTATTTACGTCTTGTGTTTTTGGACGCACTGCACTATGAAAATGAGTTTTAAGTGAATTATGGATCCCTATCAACCCATCATAGCAAACATTTTTAAGAATCTAGGAACGCTAGCTGTAATCTTTCGTGTCAAATGACGTGAATAACCCTGTATAAAGTATTATTAGATAAGTGTTTCATTTAAATACTCGTAACACCGCTCAAAAAAATATATACACAGGTTTGTTTCAATTAACTTATTAATCATTAATTTCTACGAATAACTGGTAAATTTCAATATTCAAATAAGTGTACATAAATAATTTAATTCCGATAATAATCCAGCAGTAACCATACTTGTGGTTATTCATTTTAAAGAACGCTTTCAGCACATACCACTCTATTATACAGGACCGACCGAGGCTTATGACCTTTTGTCTACCATCGGAAATAAAAAATACCGTCTAGAATTATTGGTTGCTGTAAATACAAGGACTAGTTAACGATACTATAATTGTTAACTTTGCAATAAATAACGTGCCTTATCGACCGTAGACGGTTGGCACTGCCTACGCCATCNTTACATTTTGTATTATTGTCAACTCTATAACACTAGAAAATATTGCCAACATAAAAATATTTTAACGGTTAAAAATATTCGTTATACATTTTGGTTAATAAAATTTACTTTTATTTAATATTGAAATGTGAGAAAATGGAGGGTGATACGACTTTTTCGTTATATTTTTAGGAATCAGCACACCAAATTATATAGAAATTAGTTAAAATTATTGAAAAAGTTTTTTCGTCGTTGGCCTGTGTAATTGATTAGCAATAACCGGCTGAAGTCAGAGTACTTCTTTTCCCTCTTCAATAGCCTGTTTGAACAGGTACAGGCGTTTATTAACACATGAGAATTTAGGAAAATTACCAGGAAACAGTCAGACGATCTGCTTTTGCCAGCCCGACTAGAACGATCCACAACTTTTCGCTCAGCCACGGATCGAATCCCAATTAACCTGAACTACCGAGCTACCGAGAGCGTTTTAAAAGGGTGGTTTGTGTCAGAAGCTTACAGGAATTTAAATAATTATTTTCATTATTAATTTTAAAAGTTCTTTATTATTCAAGTTCTTACTCCTTATATCCAGCCACCAACTCCAAATAATTCGGGGGAGTTACATAACTGTACCTCTTCATTTCGATTATCATTTTGGTAGCATACTTAGCTACTGTGTCGTGTATAGACGAAAACATATTTGCCGCTGCCTTTCGAAGTTTATCTTGCGATGACTCTAAAACCGATTCCTTTCTCCTCTCCTGCAGAGTGAGTTAATGTAGATTAAATGAAACAAAAACTCCAAAAAAGAGACATCGCACAATTTTAAATGAATTTATTAATCATAATAATGAAACTATTAAGTCGAATATGTAAGGTAGAGTGATGTAATCTTAAGGTAAAGTGATCCCAGCGTGTATTGAAGAAACTACAAGCGTCATCGGTTATGTGGTAGTTAAATATTGTGTTAATACTATCCTACTACAATAGATAAACATAAGCGGTCAGTTTAAGTAAAATCAAAGAACGGTGTCTCTTATATCATTTTGCTTTACTCATTGTGTAACAAATATTTTGTAAACTTTGTAGTAACCCGATTGGAAATTAGTTCAGAGAACCCGTATTATGATCAGATTCGGATCAGATTTTCTATGCTTTGATCCACCCATCTGATCAGTTTCTGATCAGAGTACAATACTCCATCCGTTGATCCACCGATCTGATCAGAGTACAATACTCCATTCCTTGATCTGGTCATCCAACCATCTGATTAGAAATTGATCATAGTAGAGTATCTTATCCCTTAATCCAGTCATCTAACCAATTTCTTATCACAATCTAATGCTACAAATTCTATTACGGTTTCTGTACAATTTTTAAATCAAGATTGTATCCGATGTTTTGAACTGGATCATAATACAGAACTTTATTTTTTACCTGATTTATTCTGTATGCAATATTGTTCGTCAAACAATGAACAAATCATGCGTGAAGATTTAAAAGACCATGGAATCACGTTTAAAGATAAAGAATTTTATGATGCCGTAGGTAGAATCATAAATAATGTCAAATATTGGAATAAAGAAAATAAAAATAATAAATAGTTACTGTTTGGAACATATTTAAAGTGTACTTGAGTTCATTAATAAAATTAAGGTAAAATGATAATATTGATTATTTTATGCCAAATTAATAAAAAGAAAAAAATAATCCTGATCCTTTAAACGGATCCGTTATGAAACTTTTGGCTGGATCGGGAATGGGTCTGTTGAATAGGTCCAGTATGGATATTTGAAACGGATCCGTCATGGATCTTAGAAACAGATCCGACATGGATTTTTCAAATGGATCCTTTGTTGATCATATATGGCGTGACGATTTCCAACATACCCGGATCAGAAAGCCTGATTTATTTCTGATCCGCATCGGATCCAATCCACTAACTAATTTCCAGTCGGGGAGTTAATATCTTTCCAAAAGCACATGCATATCATTGAAAGCGATGAGAGCAAATAATTATCAATTAACAACCAGCTGAGCATAAATAGAGATATTTATATTCGGCCACTTTTTTTCCCATCGGGATTTTCCAACTGGAAATTTGATTTTTAATTATAGATTCTANGGGGAATACTGTTAGAAAATGTTGTCATACAGTATTTTTGAAAGTGTTTGATTAATCCTTTAATATCTTTTAATTAAAATAAAGGTTGATACGTATCTACGTATTATTAATAAATCCTAAGTAAAGGTAAATAGGATATACTCAAAATGTTGTTTATGTTGTCTATTAATTAGTTACTAAACTTTAGGTTTGATTTTTATTGATATTATTTTATGTTCATAAAGCATTCTGCTACCAAGGTTTGATTTGTGAATTTAATAGATAGTATAACGGAAAACATCAAATCGGTGGCAGACTTTTTAATGTTTTGTTATCGAATTGTCTCGCATATTGCACAACAGGACGTGTTAATGAAAATTATTCTTTACAAAGACGATAATTATCCACAACTATCATTTCTGATTAGCATATTCTTACATGCCTTTTTAAACATTGACCTCAATGGAATAATTTTTGGAATATTACCAACTCTATTAAATTCAAAATTTCCTTTATTTGTACGCGGATGTGTTTCTGTATTGTATGATAAGTATAATATACAAAATCATGTCAAAAAAAGTAGTTTATTTAAGAAGTCGTTTCGTATTATGGCTTGAAGATTTTATCTAGGGAACTAGGTTTAAAAAGCAATTGTTTTCTGCAAATGGTGAAGAAGAATGTTGTTCAGATGAATAGTTTTGTATCATAATAATTACTAATAGTTTTAAAAATACATTAATGAGAAAAGGTTAAGTAGGCAATAGTCGAATATTAATTATTGGAATGTATTTATTATTATACCGGGTGTGGGTGCTAAACTTAAAGTCTGAATTTAGAATCCCAAAAGGAGGAGAAAGTTTCTTCCATGAAGATTTACCCGAAAACACTTCGTTGTAGTTACGTCCCGCCCCTCTAAGTAAGGGGTCAAACATTTAATTTTTATTTTGCTTATATTTAGAAGTAGGAGAATTAATTATTTATTTAGAGTCCATAACGAATAAAGATATTTTGCCAGTAAGTATTTGCCATCCTATCATAATACAATTTTCCTTTGGGTTGTGCTGAAAACAAAGCAGTTCTATCAAAAAAATTAAAAGCCATAAAACTTTTTAAATAAGTAAAGCCTTTGCGATTAAGTTCGAAAAAGAAAAAAGTTCTAGTTAAAAAATAAAATAGGGGAAGGTAATTTCAGCCTTTGCAATACTAGAGCATGATTAGAGCATGAAATGAAAATTTTTCTATCTAACATTCCCAAATTTGAGAAAAACATTAGAAACGATACTTGGACCCTCATCTTTATTTAACAAAGCATTTTCGGACATACGTTCGTAAAAAAACTTTTTTTTGTTTTGGGAGACTTGAATTCAGATTTTGTTTTTAGCCAGTTGAGTCTGAATCACCTTGTATATAGCGGAGAAAACGCTGTTAAATATATGCTTTCCAAAATGAAATTAGAATTACCATTTAATCTGTAACGATTTTCAATAAACAAAAAAATTTCAGAAATACTGAATTTACAATAATTTGAAATCTTTATGGAGGAAAGTAAGAAAGGGGCTATTAAGGGATTTTACATTTAGATGTTTATCGTAAATTATATAGTAAATAATCTTAAACGCCTTTCCTCCTACTGTAAGATGTCAAATTACTATAAATTTTATAAATAAAATAAACTAATCTGCATAATAATAAAATGCATACCAAACGAAACAAGGCGACATACAGATAATACTATTTAAAAAAAAATACAACGTGTAATTATACAACACGCTACTGAAGTGAAACTTCTTCAAACACACAAACATACCGGGATAGGGGTTAAGGAATTGGTTTAATAGTATTATTTGTACACTATGCTTCGCACGGGTGCGATGCTGATAGTAAATATACTATAGAATGTCTTTATATACAACAATCACAGCTTTTTTGTCATTAGACAATACAAACCGGCCGGTACCGCCGCAACCGCTATGTCCCTGCATTTTAAGTCTGTAATATCTTCGAAAATATTCATTTAAATTACATGCTGTAAAGGGCCATATTGATCTATATTAAATGCACAATGTATTTAAAAGTACTTAATTGGATAAGGATTAATGCTGTATTGCTTAAAATCGCTTCGTAAATAAGCCATTATTTCTCGTAAAAAGTAAAGGATAAAAAATGGTTATTGTGGGTTATCCCTAAGAGATATACATATACCATCCCGGACTTTTTTGTAGACCTTTTTAAGGTGTACAATACTGTAGTACATTATTTTGATCCATCTCGTAGGGTTCAGCCAGCGTTTGCAATGTAAGCGCAAAAGAATGTGTTTATTTACGACATCACATGAGAAACCTCTAAAATTATCAGTGTTTCTCTACTATATTATGCGTATTGTACATAGAAACCTTCCTCTTGAATTACTCTATCTACTATTAAAATTAAAATCCGTTGAGTAGTTTTAAAGATCTAAGCATACATAGGGACAGACAGCGGGGGAAATGCGTTACATGATTTCGTTACATAGCAACTCGCATGAAAAGATCGCATTTATTGAAGTTTTATTAACGTAACTAGTATAACTCACAACAAAGTTATAACTGTGAAGAGAAGTTTAGGCTGAACCATGGATAATAATATCTGTGGTGGGTGTAAACAAAAAGTGAACAAAGCCTACGGTAAATGTTATCATCAGCAGTCCCATGGTAGTTGTATTAAGAGAAAGCCCTGGTGAGATTGTTGAAATTAATAAAGATAATACGAGTTTTGTGGCGTCTTGTAAAAGTAGAGCCAGTAAGAGATTACGAGAGGATATTGACTTTGTGTAATCAGAACAGGTTGAAGTTGATATCCATGCTAATGTGGAGATGATTCTTGAAGATGTCCAGACTATAAGTAAACAGCAAATTGACCGTAAATTGGGAATGTAGAGAATGATTAGGTCTGAATTGATTAGTTTTCAAAAGCAAATTGAATCTCTTTTAGTTAATTCAGTTAAATAGAAAATTGAAGCTTTGAAATCTTTTATGATGGAAAATTTTGTAACTAAGAATGATCCGTCAGTTAATAAAAGTCTTGCTAATGTGAAATCAATTTTGGAAGAGTCATGTAGTGGGTACTTATCCCAAAGGAAACTCAGGATAAAAATAAAACTCTGCTAGAAGTTAAACCTCACCTACTATTACTGTCTACTTTTCAAAAATAATTAATCACTTGAATCAATAAGTTTCATATAAATATTTGGGAAGCTTACTAGTTTTTCTCCAGTTATTGTTGCAACAAAATCCACACCATCAATGTATTTATTAGCCACTTCTATAAGAGCCTCCTTGGGCCAGTCACAAAACCAATCAATAGTAGTGCAGCTTATTAAGGCTGGATACATTCTTAACCTGTTCCTAAAAGCTTCACCCACAGGACTCATACACAGTATTACATGCATGTTTAATCGTACTCTTTCAATAAAGAACGTGTAGAGAGCTTCAGTAGTATAAGGCACGCCGGCTTTTGCAGCGGCATTGCCTATTCTGTTTTTTATCTATAAGGATGGTAGGTTTAGGTTTGTATATAGCTAAATTACGATACTTTTGCATGTAATAGGTAGTACATTATGTATAGAGGGAAGAAACAGGGCTTTTTCAGACTGCACATGAATTGCCACCCGAGCTGAAGGCAAACATGCAGTCTGAGATAAACATGTTTCTTCCCGAGGTACGTACACTACTTTTTGTCATGTTTGAACGGAAAGCTCGTCATTAAATTGATAGTTGGCGAAATAAGAGTAAATGATTTAGAGGTTAGAAAGACATTGTCATTGAACAACTGATTTCTACGCATGCCCATAAACTTCAGCGCATGCGCTCAAAAGACTAATTTCATTGCCTCCCGACTAAAACACGGCTGAAAAGAGGCCATATATTCCCTATTTCATAGCACGCAAAACGAGCTTTCCGCGCTAACATGAAAAAAGTAACTAACAAAAGTTACAGGCGAATGATGAGGATGAGGATACCGTGGATAGAGAAGATTAGAAATAAAGAAGTATTAGAAAGAATAGGAGAATAGAGAACTCTATGGAAATCAAAAAGAAATAGGCGAGATAGGTTAGTAAGACACTTTCTCAGGCATGAAAGTCTAGTCAGAGACCTGTTAGAGGCGGAAACGGGAGTTAGAAGGGATAAAGGTAGACCTAGATTAGATTACTTTTCGCAAATAGTTATGAATGGGGGTTGTTTTAGTTTGAGGGAAATGCAAAAATTAGCTCATGACAAGAAAGAATGGAGATGCGTGTTCAACCAGTCTTAGCATTGACGACCTTATGATGATGATTTTACATTTATCACGTTAAACTTAATTTAAAACTAGTCAACTTATAATTTCAGTATAAGGATGGAATTCGATTACACCTTGTGTGGAACTTGGCACCCGTTCAAATCTCAGTTCTTTTATTAGTTGACAACCATGAAAGTTGTATGTGCCGAACCTAGCTGATTTTTCACATTTAGGCATTTTTGTATTAGAATACTATTCTTAAAATTTTTTGTCTGCTGTCCATGGCTCAAAATGTAACGTTTGGCCGATAAAATTTAAACGACAATCATAAGGACACTATTACAAAATACCTGTAATTTTCTTTAGCAGAGTTTGACTTCGAGAAATCGTATAAATAAATGACGAGAAGAAGAAGAGAAACCAGGGGAGGGAACTTCTAACCTTCCCTACTTACGTTGAAAATACCTATTCAGAGTCGAATATTAATTATTGGAATGTATTTATTATTATACCGGGTGTGGGTGCTAAACTTAAAGTATGAATTTAGAATCCCAAAAGGAGGAGAAAGTTTCTTCCATGAAGATTTACCCGAAAACACTTCGTTGTAGTTACGTCCCGCCCCTCTAAGTAAGG